CCAATTTTAGCATAAAGATACAAATAGACACTGCAGTTTGTATCCAGGTTATATGATGTCATTGCAACACAGGTAGTGTTCCATGAATGGCTGTTTAAATATGTGGGTTCTCTAATACTTCCATCGTTAAACTCTAATTTGTTTTTTATTATAAAAGCACACTTCATAGATTTAGCATAAGAGTGGTAATTGCTTAGAATCCAGCAACTGTGTGACTAACAAGGCACCGGAGCTTTGATTAGCTCCAATGTAATAAGAGCAACTATTAAAACATTTAGTTGTTGGGTTACGTTCGAAATAGAGTTTTTATTCTCCATTGTTTGCTTCGAGACCATGTAAAGTTTCTAACCCTAGATTTAGACAAAAAACTTAAGGAATTGTAAGGAAAAAAGTAAACATAATATAATACCCGGATCTGAAATTTGGTCAGGGATTAATTTTAAAATTAAAAAAAAATAAATATAATAAAAAAAATATAAAAATATAATTTTTAAATTTATAAATTTTTATTTAATATAAAATTAGGAAAAAAATAGGTGGAGGATGAAATTGAAAATAATTTTGAAAAAAAAGGGTGAAAATTCGGGTTCGGAGGATATTTTTTTTAAAAAAATCAGAAATTGGAGGTCAAAACGAAATTAATAAAAATTACGCCACGTAGGACCGTTCAGTCAACTGTTCTGACGAATTGGAGCGCGTTGTGTGGTAAGGCACATAGACTCGGTGCCACGCTGGGGGTCAGACTAGCAATCTACGTGCCCATAATCGAACGACTCGGATACGTTCCAGCGTGGGTGGATGGTCCGGATTCGTTCCCCATTCAGACGCAATCAGACAGTCGTGATTAAATGCGACGAACGGTCCAGATTCGTTCTCTCTTTAAATGCGATCGTACGGTCCAGATTAAATCGCGATGAATGGACTAGTTTCATTTCCTCTTTAAACGTGATTAGATGGTCGATATCAAACGCGATGAACGATCCAAATTTAAGAGAGACGAGTATAAATATCTCATATCACACCGAACATAAACCTTAGCTGCTAGCCCTCTGCCGGAGAAGAAGGACCAGTCGTCGGATAAGGGAGCCGACCACCACTGGCCGTCACGCTGGAGCCGCATTCGACTGTCAAAAAAAGTAAAAATTCTCCTATCTGCTCGAAATTTGATTTTAAAACACCCCTATGACTAAATTGGAGCAAAAACAATGGCGGATGAACCGAAAACTGCGGGTAAAGCCCGGTGGCACCGCTACGGGTAAAACCCAAAATCACCTCCGATGAACCCTTTCTTTTTTCCCGTTTCATGCAATTTTTTCACTATTATGTTCACCATTCTATTTTCTACAGGTTGACTGAAGAAAAACACACAGCCGCAAATGTGAGTTGACGGAGCCGCCACACTGAAAAATTTTACCGCCGGTAAGTTTTTATTTTTCGACCTTTTTCTGGTTAACCGAGCTCCCATAACGTATTTTCTTGCAGGGATGGGTATAAAACCGACAAAAACCGGCCAAAATGGGTTGAAAAAGGTTTTTAATACTTATTTTAGATTTTTTAGGGATATTTTTAGGTACGTGAAGCGTGTTTTAATCTCTGTAGAAAAATTTAAGAAACCCGGGAACTGCCAGTAGGCACAGTAGAAAGTTCAGTGTTTCGAACACCGATTCGAATAAGAATCCATCACCTTATTTCTTATTATGAAACTGAAGTTTAATTATCAATAATACGGTATTTTGCGTAATTTAAAAAATTTTGAGAATTAATTATAGGTTATTAATGGAGTTAGAACTGTTTATTTATTATTGTTATCCTGTTTAACTAACTGATTGATTTTATAGCTTTAAATGCATGATAATATACTGGAATTGGTAAAATGATTCAGTTGTATTTTCTTGATGCATGTACTGTTTGTCTTGCTTTAATTTACGGTTAAATTGTGAAACAAAAAATTTAATGTAAACAGAAAATTAATTGATTAAGTGAATGAATGAATGATAGCTTTACTGGATATCCTGAAAGATGGTGGATGAACTGGGTACATAGGGAACCCTACCGTGAACATCGCCTCATACCAAATATGGTATCGATGATTGATATTTTGACACTCATACTGGGCGGGGTATGAAGACGACCCGTTTCACCCTCATACCGGATGGGGTATTGAGAGATGGTATTTTTGACGCTCATACCGGATGGGGTATGGGAACGACCAGTTAATTGATAAGGTTGGATGTTGGTTCACGCGTAGTAGGATATCCCTATGGATACTAGTAAATAAATAAAAAAGAAAAGTTGTTATTCTTACTTACTTGAATACGAGATTATGATGTTGTTGAGTTATTGTCTCTATAGGTCCGTTTTAAAAATCTCGCAACGGTAAGTATGCAATAAGTAATTTTACTTATGATAAATAAATTTACTTAAATTAAGAGTTCCATTAGTTATTTTTATGATTTTTACCAACCTTCAGTTCCTGTATCGGTGAGTAATATGATATTCTTACTGGGGTAGTATAACTCATCCATTCATTAACTATTTTATATCAAGAGTACCAAGATCCAGATCTTGATTAATAAGGGAGTTGTGAATAGTTCACCACCCGAACTACTTCAAAAATTAGTGAAGGTCGTCCTAAAATGCTCGATTGTTTACTTTTTATTTATTTCTTTAATTTTTATTTGTTCGTTTAGAAGGGATATTCTCGTAGTCCTATTGAATATTTTAAACTATTGTGGAAAGAATATAAATCATAACTCTATTATTTATGTACTGGTGAGATTTGTGTGCACCACCCATAGACACACACAATTAATCCCACACCTAACCCATACTTATACGTATGCACACATATACCTCTAGATTTACTATTGAGCCATGTTTATCATTTCTCAGTGTCTCCATGTTTCTCGATCTTCAGAAGTTACTATCGTGCTGAAATAATAAGACCATCTCCCTCCAAAAGTGGCCAACATTAACGCTAAACATAATAATTTCGTGAAGTTGTCACAGAGCTTAGCAATTTGTTGAAGACAAGGAGGTTGAAGTCTAGATAGATCACGCGCTTAATATCATCAAGGAGGATGTCAGAGAGATAGATACATGTGCAGCTTAAAGGCTTGTCTGTAGCTTCATAGGTGTACTTGGAGATTTTCTTAGGATCTAGTCCAGGATGAATTGGTAAACCTAAAATAAAGTCAAGGTAAGGTGTTGTTAATGGCGAAGAAGACATAGTTGCTCTCCAGGTTGAAACAAAGAAAATGGAAGGCCATGTTTGTAGACAAGCCGAATATTGCAGAGTGGAAAACATGGTTACTGTGTGCTTCTAAGGTATTTCTCTACCTGAACTAGTAAACGTTGAAATAAAGTTAAAGGAATGTGGTATTAATATTAGAGAAGACATAGTTGCTTTCAAGGTTGGCCCAGAGAAAATGGGAAGATACGTTTTTGGACAAGCCGAATGTTGTAAAGTGGAAAACATGGTGTCTCTCAAGTAATTCTCTCTATGGATGCCTACTTATATTTTTTTCCCCCAAAACAGAAAACACTTTAGAGAGAAAGAAAAAAAATAAAAGGAGAAGTGTAGAGAGAAAAAAGACTGAGAGAGGAGGAAGAAGAGAGATCTCTAGAGAGAAAACTCCAAAGGAAAAGTTGAAAAAAGAAAGAAAAAATTGCAATTGTTTTCTAATAAATTAATCATTATTTTATAAATTAAAATTATATATGTGTTATATGACACACATCAATTACGTGGTAAGTTATGTATTTTGCTTTTAAAAAGTAGTTGACATCAATAGCCATGCAAAATAAATGCAAATAACATTAAAGTTGGTTAATTAACCAAAAAAAAAAAAAGAATTAATTATACATCACTTTATAAATTTGTAAGAAACTGAGAGTAGAAGGGCAAAACGGAAAATTTGATCCTTCCTTTTTTGGCTGATTGTTGATTTTGTGAAACTTTATAATTTGTTAAAAAGACTTTTCTAAGTAGATCTGCATAAAGTCATAAATTCAGAAATAAAATGAGACACTCAACTTTATTTTTCTTCATGGTAAAATTTTAATAATTATGTACTTAAAATATTTGGTCGGTGAAATCCTGGCATAATATTTAAATATTTTAACTCTGTTGAATTATATTTAATTGTTAAAAAAAATAATTTAAATATTTTCTATTTATCTCAAACTTCTAATTTTCTTCAATTTCTTATCTTAAAAACCTTGAAATTTTTATGCTAATTTTGAATACTTTGGAAAACTAACTTAATTAATTAAAATAAAAAACTAATAATAATAAGAGTTGATTTAATATTTTTTTAATTTATCAGTTTAATTAATTAATTAGAATTATTTTTTTGAATTATTTGTTTAAAAAATACATATAATTTAATTAGTTTAGATTTTTTATTAAATAATAGAAGAAAATTTAAACACTAAATACAATGGAGAAAATATCAACAACAACCTATAAAACTGTTACATTCAGAAAACTTACGGTAAAAAAAAAAAAAAAAAAAGTGAATTTCCTTTTCTGGGAGGGCTGTAAAATTGTTTGATGTAAAATTACTGTTTTCAGAACATATTTATGTTAAATTTTGTATTTTTTTTTTATTTTGTTTTTTATTTTATTATGATTGTGTTCAGTTTAAGAATTAATTTCTCCAAAAATTATTTTTCTAATAACAAAGTTCTATATTTTATAAATTGAAATTACAAGTTGATATTGGTGTATATCCCAGACGGGAGAATTCTCTTGTAAACAAAAAGAAAAAAAAAAAAAAAAGATACAAAATTTATCATATTATAACAGTTCTCATACATACATATGTGTGTGTATGTCCGCCTCTACATCTAAATTTACAAAAGAGCAGCCTGCTTCATAAAACTCCTCCAACATTTACAAGAATCTGATCATATTGACAGGCATCCAACAAATGTCTAACCCCTGAAATTAGCAGAAGATCCATGGAAGGAAATGCCACTAAGTCAGAGAACTAAAAAACCAACTACCCAACAAACAACAAGCAAGGGATCATCTAGGATAAAGTAAGCTTTGAGTCATGCTATTTCCTGAAGATCCTGTCTGGGAATCCGGCTGAGAAGTTTTCTCCATTGCAGTGGGATTCACTAGCCTAGTCTCCAAGGTGCCTGGTTTGAGAAATGGTGGTTGTGTCGGCTGATGAACTTCGTGTTCATCTTTAAGCATTCTCACCACAATTGACATTGATGGCCGTAGCTCAGCAGAAGCTTGCACACAGAGTAGGCCTATTTGGAGTAATTTCGATGCCTCTTCTTCTTTGAAGTTATCCTCTAACACGGGATCAACTGCCTCGAATACTCTCCCACTTCCATATAGGTTCCAAACCTTCATTTGTTTTTCAATTAGAATGTTTTAATATTTGATATTAATGAAAAGTATTCACTTAAGAATATGAATGCTTTATGACATGAGAATAAGAAAGAATCACCATTTGTAGAATAGAGACTGAATCTAGTGATGAGAAGGAATTATTCCTCTTCCCAGTGATGACTTCAATTACAAGAACCCCAAAACCATAAACATCTGCCTTCTCAGTCAGCTTACCGGAAACAACATATTCAGGAGCCATGTAACCTCTATGAAAGTAAAAAATATCAAAACAATATACATTAGTTTCCAATATTGTAATGGACTGAGTTGTGTATTTAGGAGGATAGACAACAACCCTCTTAAGGTATTGACTTACAGTGTTCCAGCAATGGCAGTTGAGATGTGAGTCTTATCCTCTGGAAAAAATCTGGCAAGTCCAAAATCTGCAATTTTCGGTGTGAAGTCGTCATCGAGCAGAATATTGCTAAGTTTTATGTCTCTGTGAATGATTCTTAACTTGGATTCATGAAGGTAGGACAAGCCCTCAGCGGTACCCAATACAATTTTATACCTCATCTCCCATGTAAGTGGTTGGATATTCCTTCCAACTGAGACCAACCAAATTAACGAACTAAATCAGTTCAAAAAAGAAAAGAGTAAGCAATTGCAAGAGCAGAAATTACTAGCTAATATGATGAGATAACAACCAAAGAGGTGATTGTGAAGGCTCTGATTCGGCACATATTCGTAGACGAGAAGGCTTTCAGGTCCTGTGATGCTGCATCCCAACAATTTCACAAGATTCTTCTGATGGATGCCGCTGATCAAGTTGACTTCATTAAAGAAATGATCCACCCATTGTCTTGTGTTGAAAAACAGCCTCTTTACGGCAATGATAGTACCATCTGGTAGAATTCCCTAATATTATTTGGAACAAAAAATAAAAATTGTCACAGTTAATTTCTAATGATTTTCTGACCGTCTAATGAAGACATTACAAGTTTAGATGTTGAGACATTACTTTGTAAACTGAACCTGATCCTCCTTGTCCTAGCTTATTAGAGGAGGCAAAGTAATTTGTGGCCTTTTCAAGGGTATCATATGAGAAATTCAGATTGGATTTATTAACAGTAGCTAATAAGGGCCCTAATTGCTCCTCTGCACCAAATCCAGATTGGAACATACAAGTTTAGGTATCAATTAAGTATGTAGAAGAAGGTTTAAACATTTGAATAAGCAGAAACAAAAGGGTACCTCTCCTTTTCTTCAACAATTTCTTCCTTACCGAGTAAAAAGCCGCTGCTAAAATAAGCCCAGAAGCCATACCAGATGATACACCCGCCAAAATAACAGCCAAATGGCGACGTCCTGATTACAAGTAACACCATTTATTCCTCATCAGAAATGAAGCATTTGTTTGACAAACCAACAGATCACTAATCTGGGTTAACCTACCGATGAGAAAAACTTTTCAAGTTCTCAATCAAATCGAATGTTCAAATCCAAAACAGAAGGAATTAAGAGAAATCCAACGACTCACCTCCATTGCTTCCAATCGAAGAAGAAGCAGGGTCTGAATTATTATAAAATTTTCGAGTAGAGTACCTCAAGTAACAACCAGCATTCAACACCCTGCCTTCTTCCTTAGGAGGACAAGAAGCAATTCTAGACGCCGCATTCGTCAAGCAATCCTCGCAAGCGCTGCCGTTTACCAATTCCCAACACTGAGCCAACCCATAAACAGTCACGTTCCCTCTTTCCACCTTCCCTGTAGAGAACCCATCGTTCTTCGGTGCTCGCGAGCTCAAGTTCCTCGTCAACTCGAGCGCATTAGCCCTAAACAGCGTTTGGTTGAAGCCGACGTCTTTAATAGCGCAGACAGCTCGATCTGCTGGACTCAGGGTCTCGTTAAAGAAATCATAATCGTCGTACCTTATGTAGCAGCCATCAAAGAAGAGTCTTCCCCCACGCGTGGCTAATTGAAAAGGAAGGCACTTGAGGATCTGGGTCTTGCACCGAGCGAAACAGAGGTTACAGTCCTTTTGATCAAGATCCTTCATGCACTCACCGAAGGAGTAGACGGTGGTGTTACCGGTGCCGTTGATGACAGCCGCAAATCGTTGGGTGGCGACGAGTGGTGTAAGTATGTCAAACGTAGCTAAGAAATTTGAGATAAAAGTTTGTCTGTCTAGCAGGGAAGCGGTCCTGTTAGTACATATTAAAGCTGCCTGCGTTGCTCTTGGATCAGAAACAGAGGGATTGAGGCAGAAAGAAAAGAAGAAGAAGAAAAGAAAAAGTGAAGGCTGAAGATGAGAGAAAACCATAAAGATAAGATGGGATTCTACGGAGGCTTACTCTGTTTGCTTGGCAAGCAAAGAGATTGAATGAGGGAAAGAGAAGGAAGGAAGGAAGGAAGGAAGAGGAAAAGTATCATAATGCAACCGAGTTTCAGTTTTTCAGCTGGAGGATTGGTAAACGCGGGACCAGCATGTCTGGACAAACAGTCTTGAAGATGACTCGAGTCGGTTTAAATGCTTGCTTTGAGTACTAGAATTATAAATTAATAATTTATGTTAAGAAAATAAGAATTTATTTCTTTACGTATAAGTCGTAATAAATTAATTTTATTTTTATCAAAACATATTTTATATTGTATTAAATACTTTTCTTAATTTTTTTAATGAACAGTTATTATTTATGTATAAATTATAATTTAGGTTTAAAACATATGCAGTTTATATATTTATAAATTAAAAAAATAAAGCCAAACAAGGTCAAAGAACTTTGCCGGGTTGCGTTGCCTGTTGATTTTGACTTTTGAAGCCATCGTGATTTGTCCTTTCTGGGGAAGTCAAAGTGTTTTAGGCATTTACTTTTCCCCGCAACATATCTTCGAAAAAGCAAATAAAGTCCATTTCTCTTAACATAATTTTTTATTTATTTAACACAATTGAATGACTAAATTAATTCACAGTTTATTTATTTGTTTACTTAATTTGATGATAATTATAAATTTATTTTCATTAAAATGTTTATATATATGCATGTATATCTTTGTGTGTGTGTATATATATATATATATATATTTATTAATTACATTTATGGAAAAGAGTCCATGGATGTGGGCCGGGCTCTGACGTAAAATTGAAGCAGGAATTAGAATCGGTGGTGGTTTACCAAGTCAATGGTGGAGCATATGCAACTTGGTAACTTCACGTCATCACAGTCTTTTTCGTACCCGACAAAAATATTGTATATAAATTCATATTTATTTAGGTAGAAGAAGATGAAATTTATTGCTCTAAATCAAATTAAATACTATACATATTTAATTTCTTTGTCCTCCTAATATAATTTTTTTACTTTCCCTTAATCAGTATAAAAATGAATTTATATATTAATTCCATATCATTTATGGATTTATTCTAACCGTATCTATAATATAAAAATAATTTTAATAATATCTATTTAGAATTTTTAAGTATAAACATTGAATTTAATTTTTAATTATTTGCAATTAATTTATAAAATTATAACTCGTATACAATTCAAAATAGAAATTTAGTATAATTTAATAATGAATTTTTTATTAATAACAATATTTTTAATTTTTTTCTCTTTGTGACCTAAAAAATATTATCTACTATATTGGTATGATATATTTATAATTTTACTCTTGAAAAATTACTAATAAAAATTAAATTCAAGTATTAAAACAAGGAGCATATCTTTGTGTTAACTAAATTAATTTTTATTTTTTCAGCAATAATAAAAGAGTAAAAGATAATATCATTTTTTGGATACAAAGATCATAAATCAGTAGAGCTCAAGAGCTTCTCAATTCTATAGAAGAGTTCGTAATATGGGTTTTATGAGTAATGACATCAGCACAACGTATTAGGAAATATATTATAATATAATATATTATAGTTAGTTGACTTTTCTATATTAGTATAGATTTCATGTATTATAGGTATATCGCTAATTCTTAACCTTAGAAAAGGGAGAAATTCACTCTTATATGTAATTATATATTATGTACATTATTTCTCGGTAATACATATTGAAGAAGCAATACCTTCATTATAGATACCCGAAATCTTAAAGGAAATAAATTTATAATTTAAATTCGAAAGCGATTAATAGAGTTAAAGTTTACATTCCTTACACAATAATTTAGAATAGCCAATAGAGTTATGAGAATGTCCACGCTAAAAGACAAACGGTAATTATGAAAATAAAAAGAAGAGCGAATAAATAAGTCTTATAGAACAACCTTCACTAGTACTTGAATGAAGTCCGAGTGATGAACTTATCACAACTCTCTTACTGATTGGGATCTGGATCTGGATCTTGATCTTCTTGATCTGAAATGGTTAATGAAAGGGTGAACTAAACTAACCCACTAAGAATCACTAGTCACATATGCAGAAAATTGAAGATTGGTAAAAATCATAAAATAACTAATTGAGCCCTTAATTTGAGTAAATTCATTCAATACAAAGAAAACCTTTTATTCCGTACTTACCGTAATAAGTTTTTCAAAAATAACTTATGAAGACACATATTCATACCATTTTTTATTTTCACCCATATGAGAACAAGATATGATAATTTTCTTTCTTACCTATTTACTGGTACTCTTGGAGGTCCATAGGGATGTCCTCATACTTGTGAATCCAATCTTCAATTTAAATAATAAAACTGGCCATCCCATACCCCGTCTGTTAATAGGCACCAAACATTTCATCGTCTCGATACCTCATCCGGTATGAGTGTAATACCCAGCTGGGTAAAAAAAAAAAGACAAAAAAAAACAAAAAAAAACCTATGGAATATATATATATGTCTATGTGTATATATATATAATTAAATAAGAAAAATTAAAGAAAGAAAGAAAAGAAGAACCCAGAGTGTACTCTGGGAGCAGAAAAAGAAAACATGTGGCCATAAATAATATATATATAATTAAGTAATAGAAAAAGAAAAAAAAGGAAAAAAAAGAAATAAAATGAAAGAAGAAAAATAGAAGTGTGGCGACCAAATATGATGTTGGTGCGCCGCATGCAACGACGCACGCTAATTCGATCACCAGTGCCTGATATTTTCGGTAACATGTGTATAATGGTGCGTTGTGACGTTGGCGATCGGGATCACATGTCCCAAGGTAAAATTCGTTCCTAATTTTGCATAATATAATTTCTAAAATTATTCATAATTTAATTTATATGTTTTCTATTATAAACGAGAAAAATTATTCAAATAGTATTTGAATTTTTGAGAGGACCGTAGACCGAGGTAGAAAAGATTTTCAAAGCTTTTCTGATCACACCATAGGTAAGAATTATGTGTATTCCGTATGGAGACATAAATGATATGTTTATATAAATGTATATATGTATAGTTCATTGTGTGTAAATGTTTAAATGTATGTGTAGTGTAATAGGAATATAATTAGTATGTCTAATTTGTATTTGTTTGTGTTCATGTGTGTGTGTATATATATGTTGTTACGCATGTGTGTGTGTATATATATAAAAATATATGATGAATATGATATGAATTGATAAGAGCAAATACGTAAATAAATAAATAAATAAATACATATATATATATGATATGTTGTGTGTGATTGTGTGTACGTATTTAAGTATGAACATATGCCATATATTTTAGTAGAGATTATGTGTGTGTGAATATAAATATATATTTTGTGTCAGATATGTAGTAAGGGTACATGTCTGTATTATAATATGTGTGTGTATATTAATATGTGTGTACACACGCTATGCGTGTGAAATGTACAACCAGTGTGTGTATGTGTGAAATTTGGGTGCACTGCACTGGTTGTGTGATATAGTGCAGATGTACGGTGCACTGTACTTATTGTGTGATCTGGTACAGTTGTGCGAGAAATCTGAGTATCTTGTGTTGGCTGTGTGATGTACATGATGATTCAGAAAGTGTTTTGAAACGTATGACACTTATGTGCACGATGATATCGTGTATTTTGTGTGTGTGTCTTTGTGTTTAATTATGTATAGAAATTAAGATCTTAGGTAGAAAATAAGTGAATTAGAAATGAGTGATATTTAGAAAGAGTGTAGAGTGTAGGACCCTGGATACCTACTCGTTTAGTCTGAATCGAGGAGGGAAAGGTGCGTGTGTTGCTGAAGTTCAGCGGGTATGATGAACCTGTATATAGATAGAGTTTGAAACCTAGTCCAGACGTGGATAGGTGTTTGTGAATGGGTTACCTAGTAAACGTAACTGCTGTGGCCAATGTGAGATTTTGTGTGTGTGTTATCCATGCGACGGAGGGATCCATTTCGCTTCTTCTCGACAACGATATAAACGACATTGCACGATGATAACCTAATTAAGCTTTAAAGGACTAAATAATGTGAAATTATAAATCTGAGTGGAGTGATATGTGTGTGTAAATAAATACGTTTTGGTTTGAGGAATTTATGAATCCATAAATATGATTAGAAAGGAGAACAAGAATTAAGTTAGAAGAGTGAGTATTAGAATATATTTCGTATGATAATTTATTTTGTTGTATATTTTAATTGTGATGTTTGTTAAATATTTTCTTTGATTATAAGTACTATTATATTTTATATATTGCGTGAATGTATATACGTAAGTCTCCATTATAAAATCATTTTTCTTATTGGGCTCGTGAAGCTCAACCCAATTCACCCCCATCCAAGTAAAAGGAAGTCAAAGATTAAAGGAAGATGACGAAGAAAACTTTATTAGTATTTATTTTAATATTGTAAATTAATTTAGATGTCTCAGTTATGTGTAAATAAATAATTATCCACTCACAAGAAATGTGTATTAAAGTGTAGTTCTACTGTATATTTAATATTTATCTGTTTCACTAGTTAGAAATGTTGTGCTAACATCCGTACCTGCCAACATTAGAGTTCAAGATATTATAATAAGGTGAACCATATCTCCTAAACCTTCCCAGTAAGGGACTTCCTAGCCCCGTTCGACTAAGGTAACGTTCATGTTAGGGTTCCTTATATACTTGACCCGTCCGCCCTTTTCCTGGGTACCCAGTAAGTCTTTCACATAAAGATTTCTATTAACAAAATAACCAACCACACATACTAATATCTCATATTACATTTACAGATCAATTAAACTATACTTATGGTGACGGTATATAACCGAATAAACTAGATAAATTGATAAGGCTATAGAAAATATAATTTAAGAACATGCACCATATAATAACAAGCAAATAGAGCAGTACATAAAAATAAATAGGAAATCAGAACAATCATGAACTAACCGGTTCTGCCTCCACTAGTGACTTGTAATTATTTTTAGGGTTCTCTAATTTTTCATAAAAATAAAAAATTATACAACGTTGAGCTTCAGTTAATCGTAACGAAGAATAGAGCGGGGGATCCTTACCCGGATTGGTATTTCGAGATGTCGCG